GTATCTGTATCTGTATCTGTATCTGTATCTGTATCTGTATCTGTATCTGTATCTAGGTCTTTCACACTTCAATACGTTTAAATTCTAAACCTAATCTCGTCCAAGCTTAATCATCTGCAATAGTTCATTTCATGTATTTAATTGGCTTCAATAGCAATCGCAAACAGAGTGCCATGAAATAAATTATGCTGTGTTCATTGCAAGCCAAGTCAAAACAGTGATCCATAACATTCCATGCAGAGCACAAAGCACAGGATTCCTATTCAATAGACGCTAATCATGTCAGTTGAAGCCAACTCTAACGAGCGAGCCATGCAACCGAGCTGCGGGTGGATAGCAGAAACTAAAACAACAACTGCAACAACAAAAACATCCAAAAAGTTCATCAAGCGCAGTTTTCAAAAAATGTTTAAGTGCTGGCAATTTGTTAGCGTCTATTGCGTTTGCAAAGAGCTAAATAAAAAATAAAAAAAGAGAAACACAAAAAAGAAGTAAAAATAATAATAAATATGTAAATAAAACCTTTACTCTTTGCGGCATGGCTAGATAAGTACACATCCCGTTCACTCAGGCTAGCGAATGCGTCACTTGAATTCAACTATGCTCTTTAGCAGCTTAAAATAAAATTTGTTTCGTTTCCATACTCCAGTGTGGGAGCTGGACTGTGGGGAAAAGGCAAGCACATAGCCCGTAGATGCATGGCAATTCACGAGGAATACTACGTGAATTGCCTGAAATTATATACAGACATGTACGCATGTGTGTGTGTATTTATGTGTGAGTTTGTGTGTGTATTTCGTCGGCATTATCACGTACTTTGAATGACTTTTCGTTTTGCAAAACATACAATTTCTTTTAGTACTCTTTGACCGAACTCTATTATGCTGTGCGGCAAGCGTTGACATTTTATTATATTTTTCTTTTCAAATCTGAGCTCTGACAAATTCACAGAAGTATATAAGTAAATGTAGTATGTATATATCATATATCTTCATATACATATGTATGTGCATATGTATGTACATATATTAATATATAATAATTACATGTAAATAATAATTAGTTATACAAAAAACAAAGACCGGCTATTAAAAACTATTTCACCACAAGAATCCTCTGTATCACCTCTGATTAAAAAATAGTTCATAAAATGTTGGCCATATTGAAGTATAGTTCTAGCCAAATAAAATAACGTTTAATTATTTATGTATTTTCTTTTTGTACTGTTAAAAAAATTAGGATATATAAATATAAATAAAACAAATCAGTATTGAAAATTAAAAAAAAAAAAAAATATGATACAACAAAATTAGAATAAATCAAAAAGATATTGGTTCAAACAATATCATCCAAAAATTTCCTTTGCAATGAATTTTCTGAAGCCCCTTGTAATAAAATTAAAATTAATTAATTAAAAAAAAAATTTAAAAAAAATATATATATAATGTTATATATAACATCTGGCTCACCTAAACTCACTACCTGAAGATATTACTACTTACGTTAAATGCCAATTTTTAAATTATTAAAAGCATATTATTATCAGTGAAATGGCTGGAGCTTCAGCATTGCAAATTAAATTACTTATCACACTATATTCATGTTTCTCAGATCTTACACTCTAAAGAATTTTCTTGAATGTTTTCCCTTCGTGTCTGCTTTCGTCGGCTACACGTTGCATCTCTAGCTGCCAGCAGATAAACACGAAATTGTCTGCATTTATTTATCCGAATGCAAAGTCACATTTTAATTTAACATTTAAGTTTTCATAGTGCACACACAGAGTCAACAAAAACAATAACAAGTAGAAGAAGAACAGCAACAACTAGAGCCTGACAACATTTTAATATTTTAAAAGTTAACAAAGCGCTGACAGGACGGACAGGGCGGGGCTAGTGCAGCAAGCTGGATGCAGCGCGCCCTGCCTGGCTACAAGACATTAACATATGAGCGCATTTAAAGCAATGCGAGTCTGCTGCACACAAATGCAGTAATTGTTGTTGTTGTTGCCTGGGCCTGTGGTTAGGCTGTTGCTTTTACTGTTGCTGTTGCTGTTGCCTTGTGGCAGCAACGCATTACTTTTGTGTATAATTTCTTTGGACCTTTGTTGCGGGGCGTATGAAGAGTGCACTTATTGTTTTTGCTGGTATAGAAATGCTTCTCTTTGTGGATCTATTCTCTGCGCCTGTGACAGCATGCACATTGACTAGCCCTCGCCGCGTTGCAGCTGATAAGCTGCAGAGCTCAAAGGCTTCTCAGATCCACCAGCATGTTAATTGAATATAAGCCCGAAATCACCTTCTATATACCCGCAGGCAGAAGCCGCAACAATGTGACTGTTGCAACCGCAGACGCGCAGCGCAGAGCAGCGTGGGGCATATACTTAATATTACTCATACGCATAGTTGTCGCAACCGCAAAACTCACCTCAGTCCGGGCACCTGGGTTGCCAGCGTGCCGTCGCGCATTACCCAGGATACGACGGGCGGTGGGTTCCCATGCGCCGTACAGCTAACCTGTGCGCCCGTATCGTTGCCAAACAGCAGGCGAGGCGAGGGCTCCAGCAGGAACGTGGGCACACGTAAGCCGCTTGTGGCTTGGGATGGCACCGCCAGTTGGCAAGTTGCAGCCGCCACAAGCAGCACCAGAGCATACTCGGCAATAATCGCTGTCAAAGGCAAACAGAAAGGTAAAACAGGATAATTATCATCTTTATGTAATTATGTAAATGTTCTATGTGTGTGTGTGTGTCTGTGTGTCTGTCTGTGTGTATGCGTGGATTGTTGTTTTAAACTTAAAGCCAGTCGGATGCAAAAGTAGTTGCTGACTGCAGCCAGCTGCCAGCCTCCTGCTGACTGCCGTTGGTTGCCCTCCACTACTTGTGCGAGTCTGTTTCAAGTGCAACTTATAAAATGCGGCTAATTTGGATTCGGTTTCAGCGCACGGCTCTCATTTAGGCAGCACTCGAGTCAGGCAGTCAGCGAGCTCCAGCCAGGCAGCCAGGCAGCTAGGCATCCAGGCCAAACAGGCCCAACGCCAACGCAGACGAAACACTTTATACTCCAAGCACTTGTGAGTCTGATGTGTGTCTGTGTGTGTGGGTGGGTGTATGTGTGCCATTTCACTTTTTGATATATTTATGGCTGCTCGTGTGCGTATGCAGTTTGTTTACCCTGTTGAGAACTCGCTTTACTGACTGTTACACAAATGCAGTTTAAGTTGTTGCCAGCAACAGCAGCAACAGCAGCAACAACAACTTGTAACAACAGCAGAAACAGGAAAAAACAACAAACAATAACAACAACTTTGGCAATATCAACAAACGAGTGCAATTAGTTACCCACCTTTCTCCCTGTTTAGAAGCCCCAATAAACTCATTTTGCTCAGCTGCGTGTGGATCCTCTATTTGGCCGTGTGCATGCGTTGCGTTTTCCTTGCCGTCGCAGATATTATTCAATTAATTTTCGTTGACTTTTGTTCGAGCTTCTCTGCGCTGCCACTGCTTGTTATATTTGCCTGCTCCAAGCACAGTTCCCTTTGCCTGTAATATATCCTCTTTGCTTTGCGTTCCCCTCGCTGTCGTCGCCGTCCACCTGCAGACAAGAATATTATATTACAAGCTTATTTTGTTCAAATTCAACTAATTATATTTTACTTTTTTGGAGGTATTTTTCTCTTTTTAATAAGATAATTAAATTTGTAGGAATATTTATGTCGTATCCTTAACAATTTAAAAATGTATAAGGGATAAATTGGGATAGAGTTTTCAAATATAAAATCGAAATATAAACTTATTTTAATAATTTGTTTACTTAAATTTGGTTTAATTTAAAATTTATTTCAAAGAAAGTCAGAATTATATACGAGATTAAATAGTTCAAATAAAAATTTGTATAATTTGAATGAAATACGATATAGACTGTATCGCATTATTTTCATATTGAAACCTTCGTATATCTATACAGGCGCTAAATTTATTATAACATATACTCAAGGCAACAGATCAGAAAACTTGTCATCAAAAGCTTAAGAAAGAAAGAGAGAGATGGAGAGTGTGTGTTGCATAACAACCCGATCTTTTTTCAATAACAAAATATAACACTAAATTGGGAAGAACTATCAAAATGTAATACTCTATGAATTCGATTTAAAATTGAATTAATTACAAAGTGAGAACTGGCACGGTACCATGAACCACTCAATTAAACTAGATTTGTTCATAGCAAGTGTTTTGTGCTTTGTTGTTTCAGTTAAAGTTTTGTGCAGATTAAACTTGCATAAATCGTTAAAGCACATACTCAGCTTTTTATAATGAACGACTTCAAACTTTGTCTGTACAAGAAGTCTCATGAAGATATTAATTAAGCAATTTACCAACTTTTTTTCAACTTTTATGAATTACACGTAAGAGTATGAAAATACTTCATAGTTTTTCTTGCTCATACAATTTGATTTGTTGAATTAAAAAATTAACTTAAATAGACATAATAAAGCAGACTGGCATATTATTCAACAAAATATATATTTTAATCATATTGATGCTAGATTCTTCAAATGAAAATGTGAACTTTAATTGCTCTTGCTAGCTTAGTATATATGTACATAAGTATATATTTAATGCATTCATATCGTTCTTGTCAAGTTCAAGTCGAGGCCAGAGCCATAACAACTGCGTAAACAACAAACAGTAATTCCAATGCGCCGCAGAAATAGAGGGAGAGAGAGTGAGAGAGAGAGAGAGAGAGGGAGTGTGTGTGTTGTGCACATAAACATGGCCAAGCTGGCGCAGCGGGATGGCTGGCTGATGGCTGATGGCTGGCTCAGTGGCTCACTGAAACCGCACAGATGTGTGGCATCAAGTCCACACAGTGCTGCCTATGGCAGTGCTGGGTTCGCAGATCAGTCAGACAGGCAACAGCTACATATAATAACAACGGCAACAACTCAGTTTGTATTGCTCTACACAGCTTTGCTGCGTACTTAGTAAATACATTTAACGAGTATTTATGAGCGAGCATACGAAATGAATGACTTCTGCCATCATTAAATGTGATTCGCAACGGCCACGCCCACACGCCCACCCACCCACACACGCACGCGAGCAGCCTGACAACAAAGCTGAAGACTCATACATGTTTTTGGGGTCGAGGAGTTTTGCATGACTACGTTCAAGACCTAAACACTGAATGTTTGCCTATTCAGAGTATAAAAAAAATAAAAGGAAAACATTTGGACGGTCCTGCCAAAGGGAAGCTCACAGCATTCTTAATATACAGTACGATTGCCACGCCCACTTCTTAGGCACTTTTCGACTAAGCAAACATCATCATGACACCCATTACGGCGAATCGACAGCACGTCAATGGCAAGGAGACGGCGACGAAGGATGGCGCAGCAAGGGTCACACTCCAAAGTCCTTTCATGTTTGCAACTTGACACCTTTTCAGCGTGGCCCAGCGCCGGATGCGAATCATCACACTGTATGTATGTACTCCATGTGAGCGGAGCCTCTGCTGTTTGCATTTAATTGAGAATTTAAAATGATTTGTTTATTTTTTTCGCTGCGTCTTTTGTTGGAGAATCTGCTGCGAGCGTTTTGCTTCTTTGCTTAGCACTTGCTCGGTGTTGCTGTCACACAAAAAAGTGAGTGTGCAGACCTAACTTCACACTGACACAGCCCCTGAGCAATTGTCAGTGTGTGTGAGTGAGTGGGTGTCTATGTGTGTGGGTGTGAATTCGCTTGCCTTTCATTTTTAATGAGTTTTTATTTTCTACACTTTTGTGTGCCGCTCTCTGCCCCGTCCGACTGTCTGGCTGTTTGCGTTGGCTTCCTCGACAGGGAGAGGACGAGGGATGAGCTGGTTGTCATCCCCTTTAGCCTTCAGGATGCATGGCGTATCCTTTGCGCTCACAAGCGTTTACTTTTCCTTATGCTTTGTGTGTCATAACTGCTGACTGTCAGCAAATTTGACGCTAAATGTGCTCAGGCGCTTTAAATATGTCGCACTGGCTTACCATGCGGTTGTCTTAATGTCCCTGCTCCATCCGGAGCGTGTAGCGTGTAGTTGTGTGGGTGTGTATTTAACGCTTGTCTTTGTCATGTGTGAGCCCGGCTATAACAACTGTTTATCTGTTGGCAGTTTGTTGTGATAATCTGCTGCTGCTGCTGCTTCTGCTGCTGCTGCTGCTGCTGCTGCTTGCTTTGTGTCAGCAAAAGGCCAACAGCTCATGATCCTGCGGTGCTGCTGCAGAGGGCCTCAAGCGAACAATGCTGAATGATTGCGTAACCACAGCCGTTACACGCAATAAAGGACATTGCTCGCAGCACTTCAAATGCTTCGACATGTGTTACACTGCCTCTGACATGAATTTAATAAACAATTTCACTTGTATTTGTGCAAGTCAGGAATGTAAAGGCTTAGACTATTAGATACTCTATAGCGGGTCGCTCAATCACTCCAATATATTGCAATTACTGCAATATGATGTATGTATTTCTGATATTCGAGTTTATACCCATTTGAATTGCATTCCCTTTCCAAATATCATATCCCTGCATGCCATCCATGCGCTGCTGGAATTTGATTTAAATTGTCCATGGACGACAGCACAGTTTGAGGGCTCAGCTCAGCTCATTATTGGAATGCAATTTGTTGTTATTCCAGCTCAGTTATTCCCAATTAGAATACCTGAATGTGTCAATTATCGATGATAGAGAAATGCATTGCAATTACTCCAGAGGCTGTTCAATTAAGGAACTCGAGCTGACAATGGGCAAAGTGCAACAAAGCTCATTGTATGATTAAAAAGCCGCAAGCTATTCCAAATTAAAAGCACTTCACAGATGCATTGTGCCGTGCATCGTTGTCTTCATTAAGACACCTGCATCGTCGCACCGTCGCTACGTCGCACCGTCACTGGAGCGTTATATAATTACGGCTTAAGTACGTGCCCCGCCCCAAAGCGAGGAGCTTCAGTAATGGGCACGTTGTTAGCAGGGCAATCAATCTTGCACGAGAAATGGCCAAAGCACACACAAAGAACGGCCGAGCGAGCGAGAGAGAGAGAGAGAGAGAGAGAGAGAGCGAAAATAAGAGAGGAAGAAGGAGTGAGCCTTGCCTCGGATATGAATTGCTGCAGGGAGTCGTTTGGCAGTGCCACCCGACTATCGCCATTGAATGCGAAACGCTTCGCTTTGCATTTTGCACGCATCTCGCACACTCCAGTGTGTTTGTTTGTGCAACGTGAATGGCTTTAAGTGCAGCCTGCCACAACAAACAGCAACAAACGGCAACGGCATGGACGCAGTGGAACAACGGCAGCTCGCATGCACAAATGCCCGTTGCGGGGTGTTCCATGTGCTTCAGCGGCAGTCGAGCGCAAATGCAATGTTGCCGCTGCAACGGCACACCATTGAGAATACCGGAAAAGTGGGCGTGGCTGGCGCTAAACGCTTTTGCATCCGCCGTTGCCGCCACGCGAGGCGTCAAGCAATAATTTTACTTCTTTTGAGTCGAGCTGTTGAATCGTTTTAATGCTCGTCACCTGAGTTGCTTTTGTATTTATGTATATCGATGCCCTTACATTGGGCATAAGCGAAATGAGCTGAGCTTCGAATGGTTGTGCTCAACTGTGGCCAACTGTGTTGCATATGAATATTTTTTTAAAATAGAAAAGTTTTTTTTTTTTTATTTATTTTTTTTTATTAATTTTATTAAGTGTAGAACCGGTACAAACAAAAAACAGGACCATAACAACACAGGGAGGTAAATTAATAAATGAGCCGAACCCCATACCGAGCTATGGGGATATTAAAATGTGGAGGTGTTACTATTGTCCAATAGTTTTGGCAAATCCTTGCCGCTTGAGTCGTCGTAGAAGTCTGGCAGGTAATTTAATAATATAATATAATATATTCTATTATAATTGTTTACCTTTCATAAAAGGAGTGCCGAAATCAGTTTAATTTATGGCTTAATATTAACCAATTTTAAGAATATATTATATTATATATTATATTTAAATATTTATATATTAAATTTATATTTATATATTATGTTTAAATATTTACCAAGTCCGCTTACCGACAAGTGACTTTTAATGTTAATACTTGAGAGAGGAACAAATTTTAAAACAAAATACCTCTTTTTAGAATTGAGCTTAATTTTTTATTATTTTCTATATTGTGTATTTATTTTTTAAATATCTTTTATTTTATTTATTTTATTTCTTTAAATTATTTAATTATTTGTTTATTTCATTTTTCTTTTTTATAATTCTTTATTTATTTTCCGATTTAAATTATATTATACTCTTAATCCATTGAAAATGAGAAATTATGTTAAATAGTTTTTTTTTTTTATTCATTGAGTTAATTTGCTACCTTTAGCTCTTGAAATTAAATAAATAAATTTCATGTGAAACCTAAACATATCATTCGATTTTATTCTATACATGGTATTTCAGTACACTCTGCAATAGTTTCAGTCTCTGTTTATGCTCCAAGCCAGCTGTAAGAAATGTAGAGTATCCTCATTGTGTGCAAAAAGATATGTTCCTGTTCATTCCCGTTATTTTCTTGTACCTGCATGTGCTGGATGTGCTGCCTACATTGCGGCGCTGCTTGGGGTGAAGCGGATGTGTTTGCGTTTAGCGCTGGTTGACAGCCTGGCAATTTATGTGGCCGTCTTCCTGCACGTGAGTTTAAGCGGCAACTTTAAGCCGGAGCCCCGACAATTTCCAGTTCGGCCAGCCGCCGCCCCCAAACCACCCCCAAACCACCCGCAAGTCACACCCATGCCACTCCAATAATGCGCCCCTCTAATGCGCGACGCTTAAAACAATGGATCCATTTGCAGAGCCACACACAGGCTGAAGTGCAACTCTTTGGTGTGCAGGACTCACAATGGGTCGAGTCGAAAGTCAAAGAGCATCCGTTGCGAGCGCTGGGCGCGATGACAACGTACTCGTAAATGGCAGCGATTTTGCACAAAAGCGGCCACTGGAACAATGACAGGAGTCGGAGTCGCAGTCGGAATCGGAATCGGAATAGGAATCGCTCTCAAACCTAAATGCTGGCTGCTGCTTGTTGGCCGTTGGCTGTTGGCTGTTGGCTGTTGGCCGTCGTCTGACGGTTGGCGGAAGTGCAGAGGCGACGAGCCACCTAATAACATTTTCCATCTCCAGCCACATTAGCAGCGGCCGCGCATTATAGCCATCTGGCTGTGGCAGCAGCAGCGTTCCGCGTGTTCCAACAAATGTTTGGCCACCTTTTATATTACATCAATTCAAGCGCGACGATTGTGTAAAGAAGATTGTGGCGGGGCGGGGCGGGGGCAGACGCTGCTCTGGTCCATTGTTGTTCCTGCATTGCCTGCCCCACGGGGACCCAGCGATTCGTGGGGGCTACATTGTCACATTGACTAACCGCCGCTCGACCAGCCTCTCATTTTTTTCCACTTTTTTTTTTTTTTGTACTCAGGCTGTACGAGGGGCCTTTGGCGCTTTGGAGTGCCTTTGTTTTGTTGCTGCTTCTGCATCTTATTGTTGTCGCCGCTGCGGTCGGTATGAATAAAGCCGAGTTGAGTGTATTGCTGCGGCCGACTGTCACTGACATCGCCCGAGTGTCCCACAAAATAAATTTAATTGGTACAAGGACCGCAAAGCTTCCTAAACATTTCACAGTCATATGAAAGGCAGCCGCCAGGTCACTTATTTTGATTGCAACTCAAGCATATTATTGCCCGTAATGAAACCGTCCAAATGCTTCAATTTGTTGTCGACAGTTTACAAGTATTGAATTTAATTAAAATTATTTGAGGAGATCTAATAAAATGAAAGTGCTTTACGTTCTAATTGAACAAGTAAGAGATCTCTAGTTATGACAAGAATATTTGACTAGCAGATACCCTGAAGACTTAGTTAGTTAGTTAAGTTATGCAATAATACTAATTACACACACACACACACACATGCAAACAAAGGCATTAGATTTGATTACGAGCAATTTATTTATTGAATAACTTTTGCGCTAGAACAGCATTTACAGAGCGTAATAATTATGTTTAATTAGTATTGAGAGATTGTTCAGTTTAAAATATAAATGAGCAGTGGCATAATTTGTTGATAAATGAAAAGACCGATTTTCATAGGGTGAGTTCTAAAATAATCTGATGCTGATTAAAATTGCAGCACTCAATTTCCGTCAAATCGTTGTCCTAATCAAAAATGCATGTATGTATACACATATCATATGTATGTATACACATATCTCATATGATCTATGCTATGCCAAATACTCTTCGCACAGTCACTCCTAAAATCTATTCCAATCGTTTCAGTATATAAAAGCGAATAATCTCAATCTGGTTATTTGACTCTTGATTGAATGACAAAGTCAATGCAGAGATTTCGGCTATTTACACAGTGGTAATTGAGTAACTGTTAAGTGAATAACTGATAAGAGGGTGACTGATAACTGTTGACTGAGTAACTAACTGGCATCTGAGTAAATTCAAACTAAAACCATATTTAAAAGGCAAAAAGATGAAAGACAAATTTAATCATATAATCGCACATTCAATTGCTTTCCATAGCGAAACGTATTTATTTATTGTAATTAAAATTCTGTTTAATTCACAATGCTATTGGAGATCCCTTTCTTCTACTCCCCACAAGCTGTGTATTTAATTACCGCAATATAAATAATTAAAGTGTTGTCCTTATTTTTTAACTATATATTTATCTTGTATATTTGATGTGTTTAATAGAGTTTTGTGTATTTTACCTAAATTGTATACATATATTTGCAGTAAATACTAATCGATTTTAATTATTCTATTTACTTTCAGTTGCCTCGAGCCCATAGCGCAGTGCTCAATTACTAGCAATTGCAAATATAGAAATGTTTTCGCAGATTAAACTTTAATAATCAATCTAACCCCAAGTCCTCGACCGCAACATTTGCCTGTCCGAATCTTGTGCCAGACTTATGCAACATTTCAGCTTATCTCTGCTCCATGCATAATTCAACAGTTTGCCTGGCAAAAACCACACACACACACACACACACAGACAGTCAAATATCCAAAGATAGAAACCAGAAATGTGTATTGAAATTTGGTGATTTGTGCCAACAGAAAAGCAAAGCAAAGGCAAACGCAAAAGCAGAGCGAAGTGAACTCGTTGAAACTAATTCGGGAGAGACAACAAATAAACGAAACGGACAAACAAACAAAATTTAAGAGCTGCAAAATGAGGATTGTAAATCATTCAATGCAATTACCTCGTTATCTTTGGCCACAGAGCGCGGCGAGCGAGCGAGCAACGGCCTGCTCGGTGTGGGCAGCGGAACGATCCTAGGATCCTGGCCGGGCCGCAGTTACATTGAGTTGTCTGGCATAAAATTGTGATTTTATTATTTTTGGCAGTGCGCCCAGAATGCGGCGCTTAGCACGCTCTTAGTGTACACACACACACACACACACTAGAGGTCCCACATATGCTGGCAGCTTTCACATGCAGCGATAACTGCTGGAACAAAAAACAGATTGCGGCTGCATTCAACAATTGCCAAAAGGTAGCCAAAAAAAAGCAACAAAAGACCAAAAAGAAAAAAGAAAAAAAAAATAGAGAAAAAATGAACCGCGACCATAAATTATACGCAGTGCATAGACGGAAATTTTTATGGACTGTGACTGGGCCGGGCCCAGACAGCGTCGGGGCTCGCATTCTTTTTTTTTTTTTTCTTTTTTGGCTTTTTGGCGCTTTTAGTCAGTCTGTCCCTTTTTAGCCTCTTGGCATTGTTGCCGCAATTTTATCACACTTTGATAATCGCATGGCACATGCTTCACGACACGTCAACGGGCGCGATCACGCCGCCATTCGATTCAATTTGGCCAACGCTCGCAGTTTTACACTCGATAAATTTCAACAAAGTGCTTTAGTCACTTAACGCGCGACTTAGTTTCAGACCCAGTCCGAAAAAATTTGAATACATTTTCGTTTTTTTCCGACCATTTTTTTTTTTTGGTTTGTTTTCATTTGCATTTTCTTTTATTTGGTCACTCGTCACCTTGTTGGGCGACCTTTTTCACACATTTTCCATTAAGCGTCACTTTGGCGATTTGGTTTGCTGCGCTTAGCGCGCAAATTATTTCACCTTTTATTCAATTTACTTTATCCACCGAACGTGACACTAATGTACGGTTACATTGTGCATATCTGTGTATGAGCGCGCGCGAGTGTGTGTGTGTGGCATCCATACTTCCGGCAGACCATGGGTCGACACACTCACTAACACTATCACGCACACACACACACACAGACAGACAGCGAGAGAAGGTGTTTGGGGGCCAGCAAAATCCACTTTTGTTACATTTTTTATGAACACATTCGCTGGGACAAATAACCCGTAAAGTCAGTCAAATCCACAATAAAACCAAAATGCGCACACACACTCACACACACAGCACACAGAGAGGATGTGTGTGTCTCAAATGTCAGTAAACGAAATGCTGCTGCATAGTTTTAGGCTGGCGCATATACAGCGCTACACACACAATACACTGCCGCACATAACGGTACAAATTCAGGCACTCACACGCGCACACATGCACACTTATGCCTGGCCACTATCACCGATGGGCCCTTTCCGGCCCCGAGGCGTCGACAACGCCAGCATCCATTAATGCTTTTTCCATTAAATCCCCAAATAGTGCCTAACTCACACACTCGCACATAGTCCGACCATTAGACATGTGAGTGTGTGCGTGTGTGTGTGTTTGTTTGTGTGTGCTCGTGCTTAACTAATACTTATACACAGTTGGCCAAAGCCATGCTACTACTACTACTAACATCCAACAGTTTCAACTTTGTCCGCTTAACACGTCCAAACAGTTCGAAACGCCGGCAATGACTGAACTGAACTTTGAATCCGTCTGCTACAGTGTCCCATGCTGCCAGCGTCGCTAACTGTAGCATCCTCAATCGCCAGACAGACTGCGCTGCGGCGTCAACAGCAACGTCGACGTCGGCGTCGGCGTCCGCGTCTGTCGGTTGAGATTATCTCCATCGGCTATTGCCCTTCGGGTCGAGGCTGTAAGTGTAGCACATCGTCGCGCCATAATTGAACGACGCCGGCTGCGCTGCCAACTGCGACAGCACGCATTCTCTTTCAATTACACACAATTCTCTCTTTGCTATCTATTCCGAGTTAAGTAACTGTAGCTTGCATTGTTGCTGTTTGTTCGCTGCGCTTTCGTTACTCACGCTCTCCTGCCTTGCGACCAGAGGGTAAACGGGACATTCTGAAGTCAACATAAAACGAAGAGAGTGTGCGCGAGCAGGAGAGCGCGTTAGCCCAAGAGTTAACGCTATCTCTGTTATTCCTGGCTGATTGAATTATGAAGTTATAAATTATTAATGAGCATAATAAAGCTGACATGAACTTAAACTGTTTTTAATAATATTTGTGTTGGCTTTTCGCTGAATTAATGAATAAAACAATTAAGGGGAAATTCATATTTTTATTTATAAGTTGAATTTATTTATCATATATTATTTTTATTTATATTTGTATAAGATTATTAAGTGTAAGATTATTAATTATGTACATAAAGTAGTAAATATATAAATAATGCTTTTTTAATAAAATAAAATTGTTAAAGTTCTTAAATGCATGCTGCTTTTAAGCATCCATCAGCATCGCCATGGTCATTGTCCATTGGGGATTCTGGACAGCGGCACTTCATCACTTGTCTGTGGGCAGCTGCCACTATAAATCACAAGAATGTGCCACGCGCGAATGTCGCATTGGCGCCAAAAGTTATGCTACATAAAACACGACCTGCATAGCGCTTACCCCTGCCCCACGACGCGACGCAAAGCGGCGCTTACTACGCAACTTTTAGCGTAAAATGTCATTCACTATTCGCGGACGGCTTTGCCCGACGCTATTTATTTATATTCGTGGCGAGCACATGGAGAGGAAAGCACGTGTTGCTTCATGCCCAAAGTCTGCTCCCTGTTGTCAACAAGGCAACTGCGCATGCCCGCTCTTTCGACGCCGACAGCAGGCAGCGCGTCGGCAGCGCTGCGACAGCGCTGAAAAGTTGAAGGCCCGACCTACGACAACCAAACGAACCAATGAATGTATTGAATTCGACGCATCTGTATGAGTAAATCGCTCTGTCTGTGTGCCTATGCGTGTGTCTGTGTGTGTGTGTGTGTGTGGGTCATGGAAAAGAGAGAGCATCGCATAGCCTAAAGCTGTCAAAGCGCATTATCATTTTCATATATCATACTTAATGCGGGATGATATTTTCATTTAGTTTGTGTGCTCGCATCATGAGAACACTATGTAAGTAAGTATATGTTAACTGCGTGTGCGTGTGCGTGCGTATGTGTGCTGCCTATAGCCACTAAACTTACCAAATACTTAGGTGAAAGCCATTCCCTGTTGCCTTAAATAGACATCATATTCGCAAGGCAGATAGTCAGGGCAGGTAAATAAATCACAACATCTTCTAATTTAACTCAATCGGCAGGTTGAAGTTATTTGCCGAGTCATTAATAACAAACGGCGAAAAGCCATTCAACACTTTTAAGCCGCACAGGTTATTAATTAAATTTGATGGTATTTTGAGAATACAAAGACCTGTCAAGGAAGACAAGGACCACGCGCTATATATGTATATGTATATGCATATGTATATATATTCATATCCATCTATCACACATGAGCTGACAATACAACGCCCGTACTGATGGGCATCTTGACTGCCATGGAGTCTCGTGTCCTCGGTGCATGGGGCAGGGGGCAGGGGGCAAGAAGCCATCAGGCCGTGAGCAAACGACTTGGCCCATTTATGCAAAGCTTTTAAATAAATTACAAAATTGTTATAATTTAACGTGCACATCAGCTGCCTGAGGCATACACCCGGCCACACAATAAGGCTATTGAGGTCCTTCTCAGCCAAACAAATACAACTGAGCGAAGGCACAACACACACACACACACACACACATTGTGTATGTAAGTGTATCGGCGTCCTGTTGCTTTCGGTGCCTCAACGACTCCTCTACAATTTGCATTGTGTGCGAACTTGGCCAACACAAAACGAGATAATTTACGCAATTCGCTTATCTCGCCATTTAATTCGAGATTTACGGCTTTTCCAGGCCCTGCTTTGTGGGGCCGAGTGTCATTTGTATTAGTATGGGAGCATTTTAAAACGCCAATGTGTGACTAATGACCGCTTTTAAAAGCAAATCGGCATCTAATTTACAAATTCCATACATACATTATAAGCATTTAACTCTAATTTGCTGCGATACGCTAATGCCAATGCCAATGGCTGATGCCAATATCTAAAAAACTTGAAAATCAAACGGTATATGTACATAATAGGAGGCATGCTTTACAATTGAAATAGACTATGAAAAATGTGTATTTTTATTGTTGTTAAAAGAGATACGATAAGTATATGTAATTAGCGTAAATATTGGACATCAGCAGTCGTTTTAATCAAAAGAAGTCATATTTCTGCTCGATCCTATATCCTCTGAATATATTAAGAACTTTTACGTGTACTATATAATAGTCATAAATAAATTGTATATAAGTGTTGGAGATACATAAAAATACCTCTTTAATGTAAACTTAAATGTATAGAAAGAAAATTTGCCTTAAGTGGGATGGAGAGGAAAAATAATAATAATAATTTGGCACATAAATCCTCAGCCATTAGCTCAAAACTTCTCATATTGCAAGTTTTGATACAAATTGAGTAGATCACACATTAAAAGCGATTCCAACATTAGGCCTGTGATACGATTTGTCAAACACACATTCATTCACATTAATTATTAAAGAAGATCCATCGTATTATTAGCAATATAATGTCTTTTACATAAAACTCTCTTCAGCCGCCTTTAATGCACGATAAGAATCAGAGAGTTAAGCGTGATACTTATTTTTAATTGTTGGTAAGTGCTGAACTTAGCAGCTACAGCACTTAATATATCAAGTTAGGCGGCTTTGGAATCAGTTAACTCCAGCAAACCTGAAACTGACTAATTATCTGGCATCAAAACAACTAACTTACCGTCAGCATAATATATGTATAAATATGAACTCGCAGCTGAGCTGAAAGACAAGTCTTTTGCGACGTTGCGTAGAGGCAAGACCATAACGATATTTTAATGAAATATATCAAGTGAAATATTAGTGAGTGAACCCCATAGACAATGTGAGCCCGGCGAAAGGCAACCCAGTTAAGATCGATGTGATATTCGGACTGATCCCATGGCTTCCGGTAAGTTTGAAGTAGAACATCTCAGATGATGGAACCGAAACTCAAATTGCTTACAGTGAGAACTGTAAATGAACCCAAAACCATGTCAACTGCTTAGCTGAGCATTAAAACTAAACAGATCTACTTAATGTACAGTGTCTAATTATTTCTGCGTAATTAAAGCAGTTAGAATTAATTATAAACAAGAGCTGGCGCGGCGAGCTTTATGACGGTCGCAACTATAAAAGCGTCAAGCTTCGGTGAGAAGAGCCTCAGTTTCTTCTTGGCATTTGAATTTAAGTTCAGCTTGGAGTATGACAGTGAACTTTGTTGTATTATACAACTGTCTGGTGCGAGGTCTCTTTGTGCCACCCATGGGATATTCTTACGATCAGGGATTAGGTCAAGGCGCGGAGCAGGCCGGTGTGGATAATCCCTCGTCCAGCTCATCGATTCAACTGTTTTCCTGTCTATATGGCGTTCGTGAATTACCTGGCGGCTTAAACGTCGAAGCGGATCGTCGAGTTTCTTTTCTCACTGTGGATGACCCTAATCAAAACTTGCTCGAAGTCAATAATCAACTGGGCGCCGTCTATCCGAACAGTCTGGAAGTACCCAACTCTTTGACGGATGCCGAACTTCTCTCAGTATATCAGTATAGCACCCCAGGAACACCTACTCAGCCGCCCCCAACCGCCATGAGGGCGGACAAACGCAACTGCCACATTATTAAATGCCCCAAGTTTTCGGAATCCGTATACGGCAGCGACGGCGGCACCTGTTACGAGTTCTCCAATCAGTGCTTCATGGCCGTTGCCAGCTGCAAGCGCCACAATAATCGACTGCCGCGTAAGCGCTTACCCCTAACTCTTTGAACTCTCTTTGTAGCTTTACTCAATTTGAGTTGATTCTATTTGCAGGTCTCAAGGAAGTCACTAAGAAGCACTGCGAAAAACATCTGAATCGAGTTGTTATATAAGGCTCTCGAAGCGGAAGAGAAATTTAAAGTGAATAAGTTTAATTTATATTCTAAATTATGAAATATTAAAAATTAGCTAAATTTATTTACTTCCCAGTAGATCACAAATCGAACTATACGAAGTATAGTAGCAAAAATTCTTAAAGTTTTATTGCTAGCCGTAGACATGAGTACGGTCATCTCTCTTTGTAAGTTCCTAAAAACTAGAAAATCATTGTTTTCTATTAAGTTTTACGTTCCTAGATCACACCCTTCAGTTGTCCTATCTTAAACTTAAAGAGAAATATTCATCTTATAAGTAATCATATAATGTAATCAGAACAAATGAGTCATATGTGAAAGATCTAATCTTGGAAGTAGAATTAGGTATATATCTGCTTGTTTGGAAGAATATAACTGAAACTAGCTCTTAAAAACTCTCAAGAGCACAGAAAATGGTTATCTGAAGAGTTCAGGAAATTGAGAGATTTCCGTGACTTTATAAAATTATTCTCTCTATCTATCTCTCTCTCTCTCTATCTCTCTCTCTCTCTCTCTATCTCTTTCTCTCTCTCTCTCTCTCTCTCTCTCTCTCTCTCTCTCTCTCTCTCTCTCTCTCTCT